ACATCAGCATCAAATTTTTGCTTGTCCGATTTCGTAGGTTGATTTTCATCCCCACTAGTACCGTTATGTTTTCGGCTGTTCGGGTCTATTGAATCAGCAGACCGTGGCGCACCACGGGCTGAATTACCGAGAAATTGTCCTTTAATAACGGTATTCAGTGAGGTGCTCGACGGGATGTGAGAATTTGTAGGTGTCTGTAGAGTGTTCGAAGAGGATGCTGACACTTCTGTTTGCTGTGGTGACACAACATTAGCGTATGATTTGTAGGAATGTTTAGAATTAATCTGTTTTTGTAAGCTGGAACTTACTTTGGAAAGTCTTTTGATCTCTTCATCTGTTTTGTTTACATGAGCATTTATTTCGCTATAATCAGTTTCAAGACGTTTGAATTGTTGGTTGGCTCATTTGTGTAAAGAGTCATATTTTGAGAATTTTGTGTCTGTCTGTGATTTGAGGTTTTCGTACTCGCACCGGAGTTGTTCGTGCTCTAATTCGAGTGAAGCTAAATTGTGGTTAAGAGTATCAATTGTTTTGTTTTTGTTTTGTACAGTTTCTTCAAGTTCGTTTACTCGTTGTGTCAAAGATTGCAGCGACACTCTGATATCAACCAGAGAAAACTTTGGAACCTCAATGTTATTCAATTGACCTTTTTTCTTGTCAAATATGGTATCAATCCCTGATTAGTCGCCCTGAAGAAATATATGCAAAGTATGACAATCATAAGCATATTTCTTTGAGCTTGAGCTACTTTTTGTGGTCTTTCTATTAATCAGTTTACCATCTGGGCAACCTTGAAGTTGTCTAGCTCTCGAGCACAGAACATTTCTGTACCAGTGTCATCTGAACACATACTCAATAACTTTGTTATGTATGTCTCTCTTGGAAGACCATAAAATTCATTGTCTAACTTTTCGATATCAGCTTGATTTAGCACGATATCATCAAAATTTGTACTTGTGGGTGCTGGTGAACTTACTGTTTGTTGACCGAAAGACTCGTTGAATTCCAAAGTACTGCTCACGGTATCTAGGTCACCAGTAAACAAGAGAACAAAATGGTCATTTTCCTCTGAATTTTCACACTGTAAGATATCAGTCAATAGTTCACAGTTAGGAGTACCACTTGATGGAATTTCACAGGATCTTGGAGGTGCATTTGTGCACGAAATATGCGATTGTTCACTGAGCGGTGAAATACCATTCGCCATAGTAGCCGCCATTTTTTTTCAAACAAATTAACTTACATGTTTGATTTTTTCAACACTATTACCCTCCATGGATCAAAGGAATACGAGTGTCGTTCAATACGTAATGCAACATACAGGTTATCACAATAAATGTAGAAGTATTTAAATTTATTTTTTAACAATTGGAAAGTTCTATTGAGGAACCTCTTATTACAGAAAACCCCATGCTTTTTCCTATTGTTCTCGCAAAGGAATTCACTTTCAAAGTATGCATAGTCACTACACTGAGCTGATAACTGTTTAAAAATGATCTCTGCCAAGAAGATGAAAATGAGGGTGTATGTTTGTTTGTTTATTGTTGTTTAACGTCCCTCTTGAGAATTTTTCACTCATATGGAGGGTGTATTAAAAAAGATTAACTCTAGATATTAAAAAAAAATTACCTTCGTTTTATGTTTGTTTTAGAAAGTACTAAAGACTTAGTCTATTTGCATCAGATTTGTTGAAAAAGAAAATGCTGAAAAAGTGAAATCTACATTTTTCCATTACAATTAAGAAAATAGTAAATGAGAAACCGATTAATGTAAGAAATTGATATATCATGCATGCATTGCGAAATTTTTCTCTGAAATTTTGCAATGCACCATGATACATTTAGCCCTCACGATACACAGCCGTAGTGTTGGTCAAGTGATAGTGATCAGTTTCCCAGTATCCTGATAACCCAGGATGTAGATGCAATTCTGTAGTTTGGATCCCAAGTTCGACTTCTGATGTGGTTAAAATTCCTGACAATTGTCATTATTTGTATTGGGTGTCATGACCATGCACTGGGAGTAACCGATGAGAATTAAAATGTCTGGATGTTTCTAGATTAGTGTCTTTAAATGTGCATGTAGTTGTGAAAGATTAAGAAATGATGCTCAGACAAGTTCGTTCATTGTTGGACAGATACATAGCTAGGTGAAAGAGTTAACGTTTTAGAGCTCTTGGGCCTGGGTAGGTTGAATCCTTGACTGGTCCAGTGCACGCTCTCTCTCTTTCCCCATTATACTATTTGATTTTAAGTGCTCTGGCTAGGCAACTTGTTATGAAATATCTTAGTAAAAGTTTTCCAGATTTATTAAACCAAACACCCTTAAATTTCATTATTTGAATGAAAAGTGTTTGAGGTAAGAGAAGGGATTCTTTTTGAGAGGACTGGGTTCTTTGTTATAATTTTCTGACACTGATTATCATTTGATTTTAACACTGATGATGATAAGAACTTATTATTAAACAATAAATGTAGTTCTGAAAGTTCTCTTGTTGGTTCCGTCCTCACTAACGGCCGCATCATCTAACATATTACGGCCTAATAGATGAATGTCGGTTTGCTGTTTAAGGTTGTTGCTTAAGACGGCAAACTTTTGAAAAAAGCTATACTTGTACTGATTATACTAATTACTACATTTTATATCAAACAAATCTCCACGTGTTTGTTTATATTCCAATTCATTCCAAAACAATTAGTTTAATACATATATCTTCATCGGAATACATCGTCTAGTGGTAACGCGCCTGTCTTATGATCCAAAGGTTTTGAGTTCGATCCCTACTGGAGGAGCATTTTTTTGGGGCATTTTTGCATTTTACTTCTTTTTTTCAGCCCAAATGACATGGAAACACTTAAAAAGGTGGAAAGGCCTCTAATTGTTCTCTGAACAATAGTTTACTAGTACATGCATTTTTTATGTTGATCTCTTTAAATTTCATAAGTCAGCACACAAAACTTCATTAAGTTTTGAAAGTCTCATTCATTTCATTCAGACTTGCCTAGATGGCCGAGCTGTCTAGCGCACTATTCCTGTACTACTAGGAGACAGATTCCGTAGGTCGGATTTTCAACCCCGGGCCCGAGCGGTATAGTGGGTATCTTTATAAAAGTAAATTTCTTTGTGCTTTCTATATTAATATTTCTTCACTTAGGACAGTTATGTTACTTAAAATGTTGTTGTAAAATGTGTTTTATAAACAAAATTAATTACATTACAATGTGTATCGGAAGCGATCCTCTATATAAAGCGCAACATATATATTATATGCATTAAACCTGTTTCCCCTGCTCACCCCAGAAAAGGGGGGGGGGGGTGAAAGAAGGGCTTTGATCCGTATGTTTTTGTTTTTTTCCCACGCTTTTTATTTAAAATCTAATTTATTTTATAAAACATCTCTGAAAATTGAAAACCGAGAATTGTTCATGAACAATACACACAGTCAATTGATGCTTGAAATTTTATTAAAATTTAAAACTGAATATTGTATTTTGACTATAGACTGAATGAATTATATTGATAAGAACTCGGATCCAATCGTGCTTCACGTTATTTCCGATCATGACAAGGAGCACTCGGCGGGTGTGACAGGTCGGCAGGGGATGCTCACTCCTCCATGGCACCTGATCCCACCTCTGATGTTTTGGAGGTCCGTGTTTGCTCTGCTCCTATTTTGTGTTGTTTAATGGACTTTTGAGCTTGAATATTGTTCGTTATCTCCATAAATTTCACTACATTGTGAGTGAATAATAATGAATAGAAATCATATTCCGTGCAATTCGAATATATAGAGGTAATGAGTTGTAATCACCAATAGCCTTATTGATAAAATGCAGCGGTAATGAACCGAAATTTCAAAGAAAAGAAGCGGTAATGAGTTGACATTTTTTTTTTTTGCAATGTAGCAGTAATGTTGAACTCCCTTACAAAGATGTAGAAACACGTATTGTATTTATGGGAGAGGGTCCTCTCTCCTGAACAAATTGAAAAAAATAAGCATTTTTTGCAAGAAAAAAAAATTGTTCAAACTACACATATACACTATAAATGAGTGAGAAAGGGTGCAATTCTTAGTTCAAATGAGAGAGAAAAGGGGGGGGATTAAGAGATGGAGAAGTGATTTTTTTCAAAGTAAGTATATAAATAACAGTTTCTGTAATTTTCGAGTAAATGTTCCTAGCTCACTTTCGAGTAAATGTTCCTTGTATAAAAAAGGTTATATCTCTAGTATTTCTTTTATAGCAATTTTTAAACTATACCACAATTTCATATACAATCTGTTTACTAAAAGTTATCAAATGACAAAATCGAAAAATTTTGTAAAAATGTACTATTTCTTGGCCTAGCAAAATTTAATTCTCTCAAACAAATAAAGATTAGGTAAACTTTGTTAAATACGAATAGGAATCCTGATAGTAAAACAAATTATATATATTTGTCGAAATGCGCATCTGGTGCATCAAATTGGTACTATATATGATTTACATATACCAACATCTTCAAACACTAATTTTCCTTCATTTATCACGATCGACGTTTCAACACAATCAAATTCCATTCATATGATTTCATATAATACAGAGTAAAAATCATACTAGTTGCACATTAAGTTACTTACTAATAGGGACTTCACATTGATTAGTTACTTTCGTCTCGTGTGCCTATAAATTAGATATTTCCCATAGAAGAAACATCCGCAGAACATGTACAGAGCATCAATGTATTTATAGAATTTCAAGTGAATCATTACTTCAAGATCTTAGGATTACATGTAGCTGTTTCAGGTCACAAAGTGAATCGAAAGTTCTTGTTGTAAAAGAAGCAACGGTCTCTCGTTTTCTTTCTCTCTCTCTTTCTCTCTCTAATGCTGGAGGTAGTGGTTCAATTGATTGGATACCATCGTGAAAGTTAAAAAAAATGAGTCCATGTCATGTGACCTTGAAATGAATGAATGTACAATGGAAAGAGGAAGAGGAGGAGTGTGATGTCATATCCGTTTATATCCGTTATTAATCTGGAAGTGGTGAACGTTAAACCTCTCAGTGCTCGGAAGCTAAACACTAAATATGATTCACAGTAAGTACTTTTTTATTTATTTTTTGTTGCAATTTTTTTCTGATCAGTAGAATAAATCATTTCCTAACTGACGATTGTCCTTCAAAAAAAATGTTGAATAAATCTTCTTTGTCAAAATTTGGAAATGACTCAGGAAAAAGTATTTTAATGTAATGCTTATGCTTGATGTGTTTTTCCTGTGTATGAGTAACACTTGTTTAAAGAGAGTTTATTTTATAGTGTTCTTGACGTTCCTTGTCACCGTGTGGATAATGCTTTACACTCATGTCTGCGGGACAGAAATGTGAGTAAACAACAAATATATATGAGAAATGATGAACAGTTCATGTATGCACACATAATGGCAATGCATATTTTCTATAGAAACATATATTTGGAAAAGACTTAGTGTCAGTAAGGAAGTTGACTTAGTTGATAAAGAAATCTATTTATAAATTAAGAGCCATTCTCTGTAATGACTTGAACTTTTATATAGGAGCTGTGGCACGCATAGTCTCAGAATTTCTCCAAACTCTCTATGATAAAAGTCTTTGATACCGTAAACTCAAATCAGGCAAAAATTGGTTGCTACGTGTCATGGTTACCATAACAACATGTCCTAAAGTCTGAAAAATGGCATTTTTCAACATCTTCAGAGTCTCTCAGTTAACGTTTGCAGCAAAGCAAACAAGTGGCAATGACTCTTTCTGAAAGTTGAAGGCCTGGTGTCTTAAATGCATGATAAACATGTTTGGTAAATCATCTATAACATACGTTACTATGGAAACAAAGTATTCAAAAGTAATAATTTTGTTCATTTAATTTTATAAAGTCATACACTTAAGAATAAAAACAATTATAGGTTGAAATGCAAGCAAATAATAGAGAAGAGATAATTGTAACATATACCAAGGACAAAATATGATATTTCTTATAGGTTTACAATGGTTGCCATAGTTTTAATACCACGAAGGGATTTTAAATTTACTCTCTTAGTGTTTTAATCTTACCCTATCTTTTTAAAAAGCATATTTCTATATAACTGATGATCAATTTTTAAAGGCCTTGTGTGACCCTAATTTTCACATTTAAAAAAATTCAATTTCAATTCTTTAAATAGTGCGTTGCTATGGAAATAAGGCGAAAAAACATGCATAAAAATCTGAAAAACACATTGTTTCCTTGGATACGTACCGTATGTAGATTCCCAAAACTTTAATGATTGATATATGTGAACAACTAACCTGACTTTCAATTTTGACTATCACCCAATCTCTAACTAGATGCAAAAAGCTGGCACATAGGGTCTAATATTGACAAAAACTTAACAAAATCGAACATTTCTCTTCTTGGTAACCATAGCAACAGTGTTGTATTTTTCAACAACCTTTATCAATATATGATATTCAACTTTAGTTCTACGAGATAAGTACTATTCAAGGTGATTCATATAATATTTTTCTTGATTAAAAGGTTATTAAATTCCTAAAGCAGCAAAAAAAATATCACTTTAAACAACTAGTACGTTGTTTCAATGGTTACATTGCAAAGTAACAATTAATCTCAATTTTTCTTATGCTGTCGGTGTTGCAAGGTCCTAAGGATGCATATGTGCCAGTCATGAATTTTATTGTTTTTCCTCACGATAGTAGCATTAACCCAATCATAGCAACAGATTTTGCATGGTGACACCGTGTTACCATGGCAACCATGAAAGTTATTTTTAGAATAATATTGCCAATACCTAATTACATGAGGTCAAGTATTTTTCATTGTTTTTCTAATGGTGTTGATTGAGTTTGTTCATGTAACATCTATCATTTGTGACTATAGAGCGTTTTTCAGCATTTTTCAGCATCTAAAATGTATTCCAAATGTACCCATGGTTACCACTTACTTAGAGATAAATTTTTAATAGTTGCTTTATAGCATAAGTGGCAACAAGGTGTCATGTTTTTGGGAGAATGGTTTGTTTGTTTTTCTTAGTCTTTATTAAGGCTTAATAAAGATTTAAAGTAGCTGAAAATCTCAATTTTTTCAACTTTTCTGGCTGTTACCATGGCAACCAAGACACATAGCAACGAAATTTTATTTGATATATGTTTCTAGTGTCAAGTTGTAATAATGGGCAAAGTTTCATCAAAATCGTTGACCATGCGTGACAAAGAAGCTTAAGTGGTTACAGAGAATCGCTATTAATATGTTACAGTGTCATAGGTCAGAAAGTCATATGCATATTCCAAACAAGATCCAATGACTAATTTACGCACCCAAAATAGCGCATTCATGCAAATCAAAAATCAAAACATATGTTCTAACATTTAAATCATCTACAATTAATACTTTTCTACTTTTACTTTTGTATCAAAAGGAAAGTAAATCGCATGTTTCAGCTAGCCGAGAAAGTTTTTCACAAGAATTCATTAGATACTTCAATTCCGCATTATAATGTTGTAACAGTTTAATCTCCTAACAACAGGTTCTCCATGATGAGAACTGACATTGTTGAATCAGTTTTGAAAATAGTAGATAGAGATTTTTTCCTAAATAAAAATATTGTTTATTGAAAGATTCATTGATGAACATTATTTATGTATAAATTTATGTTTAAATTGCATGCATTTTTGTATTTCAGAAATAATTGCATCCAAAGCGTTGCAGATATTTATAGTATACTAGCTTATGGATCAACTTGTTTCAACAGTTCTAGTAAGTCTCTTTTGTGATCTTGCAAAAAAAAAAAATTAAAAGTTATGTTAGATGCTAAAAGTTTTGTCAAAAATCTGAGTTGTGGTTGTAATTTTTTTTCTACAAAATTCACAACGTCATGTATCATTTTCTTAAAAAAATATCTTAATTAAACAAAATATTGTACTTTTAAGTCTCATTCATATCCGATACATGTTTGTCACTTGAAAAGGGTTTTTTCTTCATTCTGTTTCTGCTTGATAATGAAAGAATTAACATGCAATTAGATGCATCTACAATGAAGTGTTGCGCTCCTCAACCCTGATTAATTATACTCAAATTGATATCAACTGCATTTAATCATGAAGCGAACAGAAATGCAAAATAGTAATTTTTATTAATAACTTTCAACCTCAGTTTTTTTACATATATAATCTTTATGATTATTTACATCATGGTGTTCAAAACTTGTCTTTTAATACGTGTACAAAGATGGCATACAACATTAAACATCGAATTTAATCGTCTGTCAAAGGTAATAACAACTTTAAACTTTCCCCTTGGTCACAAACTTCTTAACCTGATATAGGACTTATTCACTTTTGGACCTTTTAAAGATACGTTTGCCGCTGAACTCTGACATCTGCAATAGTATTTAGAAAAATAGTCGAACTACCTGTTCTTTGGGTTTTTTTTCTTAGGTGAGACTGTAAACCCTTCTGTTCTTTGAAATCTAATTCTCTAATTCCTTTGTCTTTTTAGTTGATGATTACAAGCAGGATGTGAAAAATTGCTCTTCATGTGATTGGACAGATTCAACTAAAAAAGATAACTATTTTAGTTTCCGAATAAAGTACGGGTCAGACACTGTAGTAAAACTGGACAATAAAAAGAAGGAAAGCTGTAATTACAAGAAGGAAAATGTAATAATCGAATGCAACATGGACCAAAAAACAATAGGTATTTGTTTTGCTTTCTGCTTGTAAGTGGAATTGATAATAAACATGTACATAGAGATAATACAGCTATGTATTTCAAAGAAATACGAACACACAGCGTGCAATGGGAGTAACTCAATTCAGGACTTGTTTACGATTTCAGAACCATTAAAAAGTTGCATTATTGACCAGTGTCTTTCCCACCAAAAAGACGGGGAGACGAAAGATGATGGTAAATATATATGTAGTCGTTTGTCTGATTACTTACATACATAAATGTTGTTAGGATCTTTTTTTGTACACATTTACTATTTTTTCTGCGATTTCAAAAAAAAAAAAAAAATATTTGTTCGATCTTTGAAATTGTTTTCATGATTTGCAAAGCAGTTTTGTAAGTTCCCACTGATTTTGCTAGAAAGAACATTTCATGTTTTATTCATCTTGTAATCATCATGATTATAACCAGTTTTTTGAGACAGACTCTAGGAAATACACACGGATTACCTATACGATTCAATGATGCAAAGCCTTCTTGTGCGCTTAATGTGTGCTTCCCAATATCAAAATAATTTGTTTTTTTTTTCAATTTCAAACTTCCTACTAATATTACACGAAACAGTCACTTTCAATTATTAAGGTCTTCTGTTTCCAACGGAAGACCTTCTACTGATTCTGATGATTAAGATTATTCTTATTATTAAGGTCGTCCGTTCCAACGGAAGACCTTCTACTGATTCTGATGGTTAAGATTATTATTCTTTTTTTTCTTCTTTTTCCTAGACGCCAAATTTGAGACCTCAAATCTCGCTCATTTCTCAAAGGATTTTGCTCAGATTTGCAGGGTTTATAGACGTTACAAAACTCTATCAGAATGCTGTTAAACAGTTCAAAAAGTCACTTCCGCTTTTGAGTTATTTCCCTTTAAATGAAAATTTAGGAGGCTTCAATTCCAGACAAAGGCTCCGAGACTACAAAATCTGGAGCAGAAATTCTAACGAATTTTAATAATAGAAGGGTTGAAGTTGTGCACATCGGTTTTTGTTTTTCGATTTCTGTATTCAAAATGGCGCTATATAGGGGTAAAAAATTAGAACGCCTAAAAGAGCGAAAAATTTAGACATATTTTCCTTTGTATCTTTAAAACTAAAAATATTTTGATAAGACATGTAGAATAAAAGTTGTGCACAATTTTAAGTCCTTTCATTTGACACCACTAAAAAGGGGCTGGCCCCTCAAATTAGGGATCTTGAGTCCTTTAAAGTTTTTTCTTTATAACTCAAAAACGGTAAATATTTGGAAATTGCTGTCGTAAAAAAGTTGTTCTTTAACATCTTATTGATCTCATGAAAATGTTATTTTGTTCGAGTCTTGTGTTTTAAATGCGCCAGAAGCTTGACCCATTTACAGGTAACTGTTTTCATTCAGCAAGTAAACGAGAGCTCTTCATGCGTGTAACTAAAATAAACTTACTATAAATAATAAACCTGGCTACATTAGATGCTAATATTCTTTACAATAAGGTTCTTGAAGTGTTTTGTGCTTTATTTCCAAGTTATTTTTTGACAACTTTTCCTTTTATTTCTTTTTTTTTCAAAGTCGAATAAACCAGTCTACTAAGAAAAAGGAAAAAAAGATAACCTCTTCTTCTTATCATATAAAAACAAACAATATAGTGAGAAAATAAAACAAAACTTTGAAGCATTGACTATTCACAGCCATTAAGTGCACGCCTTTTACATTCACCTTGTGTGTTTACAATTATGTAACACCTCCCTCGATAACGCGTGGCAAAGGAGGTCACCGGGGATCAATCGGCGTGTGATCTAGTGACCTAGTCATACACAAAACAAATCATGGAATGGCCATTCCAAATTCATTTTGTAAACTAAGTGATGAGTGGATAAATATGTTGAATCTTTCAGTTTATTTCATAATATCTTTGATTAAATCGCTAGTGCATTTCATTTTATATTTTATTCGCTGAATTACAGGAAAGTTGCATAAATATTTTTATAAACAATTTATTTCTCGATATCGAAGTAATTGTTTGTTTTGTTTAAAATAAAATTCAAAATATGTTACCTTAATTAATTCCTACTAGTAATGGAACTTCTGAAACTTAAATGTACATGTACGTAATCTAATATAGTTATTACGTTCTTTTGTCGACGCCCTTAAAATGTACAACTGTATATATACCATGTATACAAAGCGCCCCAAGTATACGCATATCGAGCGTTTGGAAGTACAAAATCCCACATTCACACGCGCCTCCAAAATATGTAGAATGAGACATACATGCGTAACTGATTTTGAATATTACAAATTTATTAGACACCTAACCTTTAACAAATTATTTTTTTCTACTAAACTTGTTATTTATGCGAACAGAAGATAAACATGTAATTATTTATAGGTTCCCATTATTTTTTCTGAAAATCAGAACACATTTATCAGCTCTCTTAAGGTTTTACGGACACATACAATGTGCACGCATGCAAGTACAGAACATGCACGTTTTATAAGTGCATATGCAAGAGCGCCCCAAAATATATGCATATTGAGCGTTTGAAATACAGAAAATTCTAAATCCCAAATCTTTTTTCCCCATTATCTTTGCAATAGAATATCGGTTAAATTGAAATGATTTTATTGATTTACAGCATATATTAAAGTGAATTATAGGTCAGCTAAGTTGATCATGAGTTGTTTTTATACGGGTAGTCCTCCTGGCCAGTCATCGTCACGGTTTGTAACATCGTAATTACACAGGTAAATACTAAGATGTCAATCTATATATTTTCCATAAGAAATGAGTTAATGGGAGATGTCTCGTTTTCTCTGATCATATATTAATTGACAGCGTTTATGAACAGCTGTTAAAACACAGGCCTTTGTAAACCGGTAAATTTCAAAAAGGAAAAATCCGAGACATAAAAAACAGAAAATATAAATGTCTCTGGAAATAACATTGCCTTTATATAACTAAAATAAATTAATGTCCGCCGATTTTTAAATTAATCCGAACATTCATTGATGTGTACCTGTACAGGCAGTGTGTCACTTTTTTTAAAGCCTTCGTCCAAACGAACAATATAATAAATCTTGAATGAATTAACTAACCCCTTCAGTACACACACATTCGCCTACACCTGAAATCTAATCAAAATCAGATCTTTTTTACGGCCCGAAATTCTGCTAGTCGCTGTATTTCTAATCTGATTGACTATACATGTCCCTTTAACAAATATTCTTTCATTTTCTTCGGGACCTCTGCATCACTAGTCAGGTGCTGTACCGACTGAGCTATCCAGGCCGATATCCACGACCCAAACCACTACAGTTTTATTAACTAATATCTTCATTTTCTTTTCTTTAAATCTTTTTTATTATTATTATTTTTTTAAAATAAATTTTGTAACTTAATTATAAGAAATCCATGCAGGTGTTCCACATGTCAATTATTGTGATAGAAGTACTTACCATGTGACCTGATCATAATGCATTCATATTGGTCAACTCTGTGATGCATGGTATGTATTTATCAACCCTTTCAAAATCTTTCCTCTTGACCACATCTTTAAGTGTATTAAAACGTCAAACGACTTCATGTCAATTTTGAATATCGCTACCGCACGTGCATTCTGAACTTTGATTACCAATTTCATTATTTTCATCAATAATACATACTCTTTTAGCCTGTCATTTTCGGATTTTTAAAAACTAAGCTTCACACAAAAAATCACGGACTTCTTGTTAAGTTATAATGCAAACAAACAACTGAAGCATCTTGAACACAAGAAGGGTGGGTGGGGTGCATAACTACATGTATAAAATTAAAAAAGCAAAGGCGGATCCAGGGCTTGCGCGCCGGGCGCACGCCCCCCCCCCCCTCCGTTTGAATTCTGGGGACTTCGCCCCTGGAATGCCTGGATCCCCACCAGGGTTTTGTCATAGACCCACTGGGGGCTTCAATGCTGCCTTCCCCCGACCCCTCCCCTGCCTTCTACTTTGCCCACCGTTATGAAATTCCTGGATCCGTCACTGCAAGGGGCGTAATAAGCAAGAAAAATATAGCTTTGAAGGGATGTGATTTTCGGTATTGGTACTATTACTTATGATATATAGACAAAGACCTCTAGATCTACAGGACAGAAATAAAGCTTGAGCGGCAGCTCTGCTTTAAAACATGTATCTACTTTTCGGTACAATCATAGATAATTATAAGTATTTAGGAAATCCTTGCTACAAAGCACAAACACCATAATATTAAACTTGACATGTAACTAAAATTACTCCATCAATAATCCACGAACATACATTAAAAGGATTTAAAATAGTTGTAGAAATTAAAAAGCAATTTGGAATTTAAAAAAACTGTCGGCGAGTTTCTTATTGTTGCTATTGCGTTGAACATGCCATTTGATTGACAATCTCTCTATATATGCTAGGACAGACATCTCTACATGTTACTTTTCAGGGACGTAGCATCGTTTTTGAAAGGGGGGGGGGGCAGCCAGAGAAAAAAAAATTAACTTACCTGAAAAGACTTCAGAACCAAAACGAAAAAAAAAAATTGCCCAAAATCCTATTTCCTGGCGGAAGGGGGTGGGGGCAACGGGACTATACTGCAACAAAAAGCGGGGGCCAACGGGACTTTCAATGAACATTACTAAAGTAAAAAGTTAGGTCTGAAAAAAAAGGGGGGGGGGCTGATGCTACGTGCCTGCTCTCATATATAGCTCATGCTTTATTTGATCTGCAATATCGTAAGTTACTTGATTGAATACCTCGGAGTCTCTCTTATCCTTTCGACAGCATTTTAGTTTGACCAACTATACAAAATTTAGCCTTTTGAACAGTTGGCCTTAGGACTTTCATACTTCACATCCGAATTTCTTTGTGACAAGACCTTTTCTTGGGAATAAATATTTTTGACCTTGTGACCTTCATCTTGAAGTTTGACCCACTTTTTAAAAACATTAACCTTGGCAATAGCTTTTGAACGGTTGGGACTAGCGGTTTTACATTCACAGGTGTATTCCTTGCGATAACGCCGTTCATTGGATATCATCAATTTTTTACTATTTGACCTTGACCTTGGAGTTTGACGTTCTTTAAAAAAAATTAAAAGTTTTGACTTTTTACCTTTGACCTTAGAGTTTGACCTACCTTTGAAACATTTTAATCTCATTCATAACTTTTCAACGGTTGGTGTTAGGGTTTTCATAT